TCAGTTTTGACAAGACGGATCTCATCTCGATACGAGCAGAGCTAGGGCGTTATGATCGTGTGGTTGCGAAGGCGAAGGAGGCTTTGGAGCAAATCAAGTAAGAGTGGGGCTATGAGTCTGAATGAGTGTCACTTAACAGGCTCGGCAAGAAGGAAGAGGAACCCAAGCCATGGGTGTTCGACCCGTCGACGGGCACTACCTTGCCGGCTCATCAGAGCTACTAGGTAGTAGTAGTAGTCCTCTGTAGGGGGTGACAGTCGGGCCGTGTCGTGTTGTGACTGCCCTGACGGACGTGACATTGTTGTTGCAGTTCGTGCACATCCTGTTCACTGCTTTAAAGAGAGGAAAGTGTGGGTGTTTCTCGGGACGCCCGATGGTCTCGCGTTATCAATGGGAAGGGGGTATTTAACGACTTTCCAGTCTAGTCTTTGGTTATCAGAAGTCGCTGATATCTGAATCTCCATCGCTTTATACGATGAGTGTAGGGGTGCTAGGATATGATAGTCTAAATGCTCAAGCTCCTTATGCAAAGGCTTGGTTGGACTCTCGGGTTCGGCACTCATCGGTTGATGTAGAGGCTCTTCTCTCGAGTGCATGCGTTGTGTCGTGGATCGGCAAGCGTCTCGCTTCTTGTGTGGAGGCCATGGTGTTTGTGAAAAAAACTTTTCTTGGCTTCTCAGATTGCCTTTTCTATTAAATTCCCGGTTTTACTCCTTTTTTCTGTATGCTGTGTGCGCACAGAGTGATTTTCCGTATTGCTAGTGTCTTGGCGATACATACGATGAAGGGGATGCAAGCTAAGGTACCAAAACCAGCTATGACAGCGCCAGAGGCTTCCGTCGCTCTGTTCGGAGGACGGACGGCCGATGTTGCTTTTGTATTTTTTATCATCGCTATTACCCTATTGGCAGTTGTGGCTTTCGGCGGGTGAGCGGATGGTGTTTTGGTTGAAAAGGAAATGTAGTGCTGTTCAGAATCAATATGAGGACGCTGTGGATCGATCGACACGGGAGCTCTAATGGGCCTTTGGGGGACCGCCCGGCGACCGAGGGTGTGCGTAAGAAGCAGTGGAAGCATCGGACGGCGAAAGGAAACCCCAGAAGAGAGCGTCACGAGTCGACTGATAAGAAGGAGAGTAGAGTAGATCACATAGAGAAGGACGTGCAGTTCAATATCGTCCACGATGTGCGGCCGTCTAGTGAAGGAGGTAATAAAAACATTGAGAGGAATATTCTCGGATGTTAGTAGCCTTCTTGAATGCGAAGTGATGGTAAGAAGTGGGTAGACTGAGGTGAGATGTTTCCTCGTTCAGCAGCCAAAACAGAGGCAATAAATGAGCTGCTACGAATCACA